ATTTTGAAATGATGCATCTGGATGGTGAGAAAGATACAAATGTGTAATGAAGTTTATGAGTGTTTATCAGTAACACGCACACATGCACACTCACACAAGAAAAACAAAAAAACATAAATCTTAGCTAAGAGGAACTGGAAAAATGGGAGATATGAATCAACAAGTCCCCTTAGTCTGTTTTTAATTGCACTGAACATTCTTCATTATAGACTTTCAGATTAAATGGTCCTTATGAATCTCTGCCTTGTTATTAAAGCATTTTGTTTGTGTTTCTCTGTGCTCAGTATGGCCACTATTACATGAAGATTTCAAAAGACTGTTAAAGTTCATACCACTTCATTCTCAAAAAATGAGAGAATTATCTCCCTTGCATAAAAACCCAGTCCCAACCTGGATTAATTTAGCAGAAAGCTGTGCACAGGACACAACATCAGACATTTTAAAGGAAAGGTAGTAACTTGATTGTTATTATGTCCTCTTAGGCAGGGACAATTCAATTAGGACACTTCTCTAAGATCTGCATCACGCTGCTGTTGGAGCTGGTTACGTGCTTGAGCTAATGTTGATTTATATCGGTCACCTTCATCAACACTAAAGACAGTGTATACAGCTTGCAAAAATCTAAATAAATCCCTCTTCAAAGCTTACTTTCATTGTGTCAACTAAAAGAAACTAGGTGACTTCTATTTATATATTCACTTTATTTATATCTAGTCAACTACTCGTTTATATTAAAAAAAGAACTGGACAGCTTCAAAGCTGTGGCTTTGTTGGTAGTCAGCTCTGCTTGCTGAAATCATGCTGCAAAATGGGACAGGATCTGAGATTACCGAGAAATGAGCGATTTTGTTGCACATACACACAATATATTTCAGCACTTGCCAACTCAGTAATTTCAATAGAACAGCAAAAATCTTGTCTGTGTTCAGCACTGACCTCACATCAATTTGTGGACTCCCTGCCAAACCCATGAAAAGCTGAACAGTGACAAAAATAAGTTTAAAATTAATAATAATAATAATAAATAATAATTAATATAATAAAACATAATAAATAAGTTTTGGTAAGCTGGGACTTGGAGCATCTTCCTTATGAGGAAAAAGCTGAGAGACCTGGGACTGTTCAGTCTGGAGAAGACTGAGGGGGAATCTTATCAATGCTTATAAGTATCTAATGGGTGGGAATCAACTGGATGGGGCCAAGCTCTTTTCAGCACTGCCCAGTGACAGAACAAGGGGCAGTCAATGCAGTCTGGGACACAGGAAGAACTTCTTTACTGTGAGAGTGGCATAGCACTGGAACAGGCTGCCCAGAGAAGTCGTGGAGCCTCCTTCTCTGGAGATATTCAGAACCGTCCTAAATGCTTTTCTGTACAGCCCACTGTAGGGACCTTCTTTAGCAGTGGGGTGCACTTGAAGGTCTCCAGAGGTCCCATCCAACCTCTGTGACTGTGTGATTCTGTGAATGACGCTTGGTTTCCTTCAGGTTTTCCTTTGCTCCTACAGCCCTGCTGCCAGAGGGATGAAGCCCAGCTGGCACACGGCACTCAGCTCTGCTGCCATCCTAAAAGATCTCTCCCTAGTAGGGTAGTTTTTGACTTTTATTTTAGCAGTTTTAGGGGTGAGGTTACATTCACACTGAAGCCTTCCCCGTAAGAAGTCCCAAGTCCACCATCATCCAGCCTACAAACACCGAACCCTTCCTGACAACAACACTATATCTTTTCCTTCATGAAACCATGTGGAAATGGACCGATGGGCTTAAAACTGTTAGGAGGTAACGGACATTTTAAGGGCTAAATTTTGTCGTAAGAGCGAATCCACCCGCTAGGCGACTGCCGTGACGGCAGCGCCAACCCCGCAACGGAGCGCTTTCAACGCCGTAATGGCGGACCGCGCTCCCAGAGCAGCGCGCCAAATAACGGCTCGAGCCGCCGCAGCCCCCGACCGTTAGACCGGGCCTGGCGGTTGCCTGGCAACCGGGCGGCGCCTCCTCCGCTCCCCGCCCGGACCCGCTGCGGCTCAATAGCGGCTGCGGCGTCCGGCCCTGTCTCCTGGAGACGGGGTCACGGCGGCGACCACCGGAGCGGTGCCCGGGGGAGAGAGGGCCGGCCTTCGTGGCGCTCTGCGGCATTTCCCTTATAGAACAAAAAAAAATAAAAGCCATCTCTCCGAGTGACTCCGTGTGCTGTGCTGGTTCTTCTCCTTCTGACTCTTTCTCTTCGGTGCGTGGCGCTGGGTTCCCTGTCGGGACGCATCCACGTCCCCCCACAGCGCGGCGTGCGGCGCTCCGCCGGGTTGAGTTGATGGCGGCTTCCTTCTTGCGGTCACGGCCGCTGCCGCCTCGCAGTCGTCCGGTAGCTGCCCGCCTTCCCGCTGCCGCCGGGCCCGCAGCTCCCAGGCGTGAGTGCAGGCGGCCCGCTGTGCCGCATCCCCGTTCGGTACCCCGGCTGAAGGCCTGCCGTCGGGGACGGCTGCTCTCTTCCCTGTAGCCTGCCGGTTGAGACCTTATCTGCAGGTATAGCCTGTATGAGGTAGCGGGGAAGGCTTCCCTGCCTCATGGTCACCACGCGTGCGTTTGTCATTGACCCTGCTTGTGTCAGACAATTGGAAATATCTGTATGTCGCTCAGCACGCTGTGCATTCGTGTGGTTTGTTGCACGGGTGGTGATGGTGCCTTTCTAATGTCTGTCATGAAGGTATCTTCCATCTGTGTAATGTTTCGGTAATACGATGAGCTGCAGGTGTCAGGTTTGAAGGGTTCTTGGGAAAGAAGGAATAAAAAGAAGGGGCAGTGGTCACATGGGTGAGCAATGGGATGGCAATCTGCTGTTCTGGCATCTTTGTGAAGCAGAGGAAGATGTTACTTTTTCTGGTCTTCGTTCAAGCTCTCCAGAAGAACATAAGGAATAGTTCAGCGACAGGAAAATAGACCTACACCTGTTCCTGTCTTTGTGCCTTGTTTGGCAAACTGATCATTGCATAATTGCCCATCTGTTTTCACAGTTAACTGGAGGAAAAAAGATGTTCCTTCTAAGGTTACGCTGACTATACCTAACTCTTTGCTTACTGAGAGATAAAATCAAGTTAATTTACATTTGGTGTTTGTCGGAGTTTATTGGGGTGTAGGTGTGTGTGTTGCAGGGGTGTTTCACAAGATGTTCTGTCTAAAGATTTGGGAATTCTCTGTTCTCAGTATTTAGTTTGTCATTTGAGCTTTGTGTCTCAAGAAAGTTAGTGAAGTAGAGTTTGTGGCTTGTAATTAGATATTTCACAATAGCAGTGCTTAAGCAGCCTTCTTCTCTATCCTTGTTGCTGTACTATCCTCTGTTTTTTTCTGTAGTTGTCAGGTAACTATACTGAGAACTGGTCTTGTTGAAAGGAAAACAACAGTCTTTTACAAACAAAATGAAAGAAGTTGGTGTTAACATGAGAACAAGCAACTCCAAATGACTGTGAAATATTTCAGTTGTTGGTTGGAAGAACTGGGCACTGAATGTAGGGTTGGTTTGGAGTTGGAAGAACTTACTATAATGTGCTCGTTGTGTACCAGGTAGCAATATATTCTGGTTTTGGAATGTTTGTAACAAATGACAAAGGTTTAATTTGTTTCACTATGTAAATTAAACCATATAAAATTATTGAGACAAAAAATGGTAGTTAAGAGATAAACTAAAATTTTCTTGTGGAACTCTTTGACTCCCACAGTTGGCCAATGCATTTACACGGCTTTTAAAATCGATTGTTCCATCCATGAAAAAAATTTCTAACACTAACTCCTATAACTGGTAAAGCTACATGCATCTTACTGTTGTTAAGAATGCTAATCCCTGTGGGGTTCTTTTTGTTTCTTTTTCTGGTTATGCTGATTAGATCAGTTACTTATCAGGCTTAAATTACAGGGTAAAAAGTTGCAGAGGAAATCTGTCTGGTGTGCCCTTAAGCAGAAATGGCAATTTTACTTGGTAAGGCTTTCAGTTTAGTACAATTTCCTGTATCCAGCATTTTTATGCAGAACTTAAAATTTTAAGTTTGGTAGCACGATTTTTATTTACAGGTAACATATTTAGAATCTGTAGTTACTGGTTCACCTGTAACTTGTGGAATGTGTGAAGAGCTTTCCAAATGGAAAATAGTTGCCTATTCAAAATTTTGTTTACATTTCCCAAGGTGAATTTTGAAGTACTTACATCCTTCCAGCAAGATGAAACATAATTTCTATTTTTTAAGAATTGGGAGAGTAAATGTGATACATTAATGATTTTTAAATTTGATTGCTTCTTCTCTCTCCCTTCTTCCTTTAAAGGTTTACCTGTCTAAGAAAAGACCATGTTTCCAATCCCTTAACAGTAAAGCATCCTTAAGTATGGAGAACTTCATTCTTTATGAAGAGATAGGAAGAGGAAATAAGACCATTGTTTATAAAGGAAGAAGAAAGGGGACAATTAATTTTGTTGCCATTCTTTGCACTGATAAATGCAAAAGAGCTGAAATAACAAACTGGGTAAGTAAGACTTTTCCTGCTAAGTTTGGGAAAAGATCAAACTTAAAATAAATAAATAAATAAAACAAAAATCCTTGTAACAGAAAGAAAAATGCTGAATACTTTAAGTATTTATTTTTCTCATCTAGCAGTGTTCTTATTAATCACATGCGTAAACTCAGCTTTACAGGCTTACTGTTTCTGTGATAAGTCAAAGTACCTTTTATAAGAACAAGTGTCTGTGTAGTGGTTGACTTTATTTTTCTATCAGTTATGAAAACCCAGTCATAGCAGTGCTTTGGCAAAGTTTTAAACATTTGCTTTCTGGATAAGAAATGAAAACTGATACAGTTAAATATTTCAAATATTTTATTTTTCCAGTTGATACATTTTGTTTAGTATTCCCTCTCATTGTTTTGACAATTCATAAATCTTCTCCGCTCAAATCTTTTTTCCCTTCAAAGCATATTCCTCTTAGAAAGTCCTGAGGGGTACCTCGCATATGGCTCTGGCAGGATTCAGAGACTTCTGTAGACATGAGGCTAGGAGGGTGTGGTAGAAATACAGACTTCCAGGGACCCTGAGTGATTGCTTTTGCCTGATAAGACTGAGGGGGGAAAACTCTTTATTTCTCCTTATTATAGTTACCATATTTTCTCACAATTGTGTTCTCACTGAAAAAGAAAGTAGATCTCCAAGTTTGACTGCAAATTCTTATTTACAGTCTGTTAGTAGAGATGCAGAAGAGTTAAATAGTGCTTATAAATCAATAATATCTCTGATTGGTTGAGAAACTTTCTCATATTTCTGGAAAAAGTTCAGGAGGCCAAGGGCTGAGAGGAAAGTTTTCTGTTCTCAACTTACATGTAAAATTAATTTGAATTGGAGATTAATTTTTAACTATTTAGTATACTGGACTAGGCACAGAATTGAGTAGGTGATCTAGCATAAAGCTGTGTTGTCTCCAATTCTCCTCCAATCCATGTATATAAAGATACTTTTCCCCATTAATAATGTTAGGAACTTTGTTTTAGGTTCGTCTGACTCATGAAATCAGACACAAGAACATAGTGACATTTCATGAATGGTATGAAACAAGCAACCATCTCTGGCTTGTAATGGAGTTATGCACAGGTAAAGAGCTCAGATGGACAAAAATAAATATCTGTACTATATATATATATGTGTGTGTGTGTGTGTGTGTGTAAGATTTTTCTTATACTAAATGTTTCTCACAAAAAATACATATTTTAATCTTCGAGAAAAGTTAAATTAATAATCAGGTTGTACATATGTATGTATGCTTAAAAATGTTGGTTTTTAAAAACATTTTTAGAAATCCACCGAACTCATATTCCTCTTCTAGTTCACAATGTATGTGAAATACTAATTTAGGTGACATAATGTTAGCTTGTCATAGCTAGGGAACTTAAAAACAAGTTGTGAGTAAATGGAATGTAGTTATCTAAAATTTATTTAAGGAAAGATTTATGTTAAGATGTTAATTTGGGAACGCTGAGAACCCAAAACTCTATTAAGTAATTAATGGAGTTTTGGTAGGTTAACAGCAATCTTTTAAAGAACTCTTTAAAAGCTTTCTCCAATTATGACTGTATGTCTTAAGCAAATGATAGTATGTATGCTTTCCTCCATGTAGAAAAAAAGGAAAGGCGATTGTGCAAGTGAAGCATTTTAATGTTTTGATGCATGGAGATGTTTCATAGTAACAGCCAATATTACAAACTGCTTTTTTTTTTTTGTTTTTTTTCCCCTACTTAGAATTATTGGAGAAGCTATAAGACCTGAAAAATAATCTGGTCGTTCTTTCAATTATTAGAATTAAAGTTAGTTGGCTGATTTGGAGGCCTTGTCCTATTTGCCTAGTCTAACAAATTGGCATGTATGTAATTTATTAGGCAGACAGCCTATTGTTAAGAACAGTTAAAGCAATTCTTGTGTATTGTATCTTGCAGTATTGCAGCATGGGAATAAAGTTCTTAAAGACCCAAGATTGGACTGACTAAGAAGTTTATCCTAACTAAAAATACATTAATTTCAAATAAAAGCGAGCAGTCTGGGATTGTGTACAATCCCCAGTTCTGATCTAGGATAACACTGGATGTCCTACTGCTACAGGCCATCCAAGTGCCATCTCGCCACAGTGTGAACTGTGGCAGTTAACAAGCAACTTATGGAGCCCATCTTTCCCAGACATGGGTACTTATCCTTATTAGCCTGTAAATGGTTGGGTGGAGTTCATCTCTCCTAAGGGTGGATGCCTGGCTTTTTTTAACAGCCAGGTGACCTTTTCCTCACTTTTCTTTGAAACTGTATGAATTGCGTCTCTGCAATCACTTGGCATAAAGCAGGACAGTAGAGGGATAAAAAACTGCCTGAATGTTCTCTCACTGTAGTCATAGTTAATAAAGCTTCTGTCTGACCTACCTCAAATTGTACTTGTGTCATTGTGCACTTGGAATCACTATGTTCTCCCTCAGCAATTAGCTTCAAGACATTCTTAGCAGCAAATGTACTTGTGAAAAGGATGAGAGTTGAATTTCATATTAATTTTGTAGAGCCTTGAAGACTGTTTTTGATACTTGCCTAACAATGGCAATGTAGCATACTTTTGTGTTGCTGATTTCATTATAAATTTTTCTTGGTATATCTATATAGCAATCTAAAATACATTATAAAAGTGTTAAAATGTTGGAAAATTCTTTACTAAGTCATATATTCTGAGGCTGGTTCTAAAGGTATGACTTATTTTTATAAACAACGTAAAAAGACTTAGAGCAACTTTAAGATTCAACATCATTGAGTTATTTGGAGAATAGTGTGAAAAACCTTAGCATCTCAGCATTCTCTGAAATAAATCAGTAAGCAAAGGGGGGGGGG